TCTGTGAACTTTTCATCCAATCACTTTCAGTGGCCAAAAATCACTTTTTGACGCAGTCCATGCCGTTTATCCACGTACTAATAATCAATTCAATCGACTTCTACGGCTTTCTCTAACAGTGTCAGTGTCCACAGCGACTGTAGAAAGATCTTTCTCGGTAATGAATCGAATGAAGACATGTCTGCGATCGACGATGACACAAATTCGTTTAAATAGTGTCTTTTTAACATATATATACAAAGAAAAGACAGATTTCATTGACTTGAAAAGTCTTTGTTCGACGTTTGCATCAAGGAATGAATAGAGAAATTTTTTTTGGTAGTTTCTAATCATTTTTGTTTAATCTTGATCGTTTCGATTTCTACCGAAGTTCAATAAAAAGAAGACTTATATTCTGCTTGATGCTTTGATAAAATCTATTGATGCAGAAGAAAAATATTGTGCGCCTCACCTAACGTGATGAGGCTCCGCCGCCACTGACATGGGCACATCACTAGACACAGTTTTTCATGCTGATCATAAATCCGACTTTTTTTGAAGAAAAATCAATTTTCAATATAAAAATTTTAATTTAAAATGTCAAAAGCTTTAATTTGAATTTTCTGGTCTAGCCAAAAAATTTAAAAACATCCCATTGAATAGATAATTTAATTCTCTACAAAATGACTCATTTTGTTTTGCGATCTATTTTTCAATTGAGACACAGTGGCTGCTTGAACGTTTCAACTTCCACCTTGGTCTGAAAGCCTCAAAGAATTTTTCGAAGTTTATTTTCAACTGCAGTCTTTTGGAGGAAACCTAGAACTACACAATATATAAGTATGAAGTTTTTTGAATAGCGTGTAGTGCCTAAAAATGATGCGACAAAAAAAGGCGTTACAACGTTACTTTGATAAATCAGATTTTATAAACAAATCAAAAGGGTTCTAAAATAAATTCTTTTAGCAAAAGAAAGCTCGTTACCTCCTCTATAAACTTTGCTCAAGATACTTTATTCGCTCTTCTAAATTCGCAGGAATTTCCACTTTAATGAGTAGTTAGAATTTAGGGCCTTTTATGTCATAGCGTTACCGGTCTAGAAAACAAAAGTTTCTCTTATACGAAAATTTAAATAATAGTATCAGAGTAGAATAAACTGTAAAAGAAAACTGTGTTTTTGATAGACTGATAAAAGAATAATCTTTTGACACATAGTAATTAATTGTGTTTGAAGAAGTAATCAAATCAATTAGAAACGAAAATGAAGCTCCTGTAGACGTTTATATAAAAATTATAAATAAATAATTAGATTGTATAATTCATTATACATTGTATAATGAATGTACAATGTTATAAAACAAAATGTTGTATAACACTAGCGGAATAAAGGAACAGTAGAGCAGCGACGGACCGACCAGAATATATTTCAAAACACTCTCTTTTCATTTCAATGAAAGGTAGAAAGTTGTGCTCTATTTAAAGAAAGTTTAAATAAAAAGTGTAGTCGAATACGTACAAAATGTGCAAAAGCAAAGTGTGTTTGAGGTATATTTTTTGTAAATGCAAATAAAATCGTTTTCTTCTTCGTTGCATTCTTCTTATTGCATTCTCTTGCTTATATGTTACAATACTCGTTATTTTAAACGTACCGATTACATGAAAGTATATAAGTATGTACCCACAATACAATCAAAGGGAACGGAAATTGAAATCAAGCTCGATATGTATAAACCATATATAGCAAAACTAGTGTACATTGAAATGTTCTATAATAGAGGAATGACAGAATAGAGAAACGACAGACCGACTGGAATATATTTTGAAACGTTCCCTTATATTAATACTGTTTTACTATTTACATGAGAAGGCAGAACAGCAAATACGCAACGGAAAACGTTTTCTCTACAGACACAGATCCTGAGTATCGCAATAATTTTACTATCAATTTCTGTGTTCGTGTAGCAATCGACCGAATACCACGGAAAACTTACCTATTTCTCGCACTTCTTATTTTTGATAATGACAGACACTTTTTTCATTAGTCTGGCAGGCTCAGTTGATAAAACATTAAAAACTACATACTATAAAATTTTCGCTGTTGCGTTTTCGTAATTCACAATAACAAAAGACGAGAGAAAGAACGATTTTTCTCATATTTTAGGGAAGTCGTCAAGATTATAATCGGATCATTCGGAGTAATCGTAGAATAATGTACAATTCGCCTCTCTTATGTTTGGTTTGTATAAGAGAGAAAATATATAAAATCTAAGTTATCTTTTCTTCTCCATTTATTCATTTTATCCTATAGACTACTTTTCATTAGCTCTTATATATAACACATCAAAGAACATATTAACTATGCTAATTAATTATAGGTAATATATATATTCTCTTTGGCCTTATCACTTGTTAATATGATTTTAAACAAACAGTAAAAATGATTTTTCGCCACCGTTGTCATAGTGGGTTTTTTCAGGTATTTCATAGAACAGACTCATTTTAATTGTAAAGATGATTATATATATATATATATATTGTATATTATATATATATATATATTGTATATTATATATATATATATATTGTATATTATATATATATATATATTGTATATTATATATATATATATATTGTATATTATATATATATATATATTGTATATTATATATA